GGATGGTCAGGTGACCTGCTGTGCATGGCTGTGCATGACCTCATATGACCTGATCACCTGACTAGGCTGAGTAAGCAAGATGTTCTAGCAGGTTCCACCACAGAGGTATAAATATAAGGCCTACTCTGCCTGGGGACTGTCTCTTAGGATCATCCACAGGTACCTATACTGTAGATAGGTCTTAGTCATCAGGTCTACTCCACTTCCTTGTTGCCTGCTTAGACTCTTGGCACTCTTAGGTGAGCAGACTTAGTCAGCCTGTGTTGCCCCAACACAGTGGCATGGTGCTTCAAGCATTGCCATCTGTGCATGAGTGCAAGTAAGTTTACTCCTTTTACTGTTTCTTTGGGGCCAGTAACTCACCATGTTCAAAATTAGGGCTGGATTCAACATGGTGATTGCTTTCACAGCAAACACCTTCAACTCCCAGTGTGTGGCAGAGATCTGGCTGGGGCCCTTCTTGCATGCCTACTATTGGGATGCCATCCCTGGGGAGCAAGCAATCCTCAAGGGCTACACCAGAGAGCTTTCCCACCCTCTCTTTGGTCTCCATATCTTTGTGTTTGGGCAAGATGGCCAAGGCTGGAGGTACACTTGGGGGGGGCCTGCCAAGAATCTGACAGGCAACCTGAAGGACCTCAAGTGCCCCTTGTGCTCCATGGTTATGGAGTTCCATAAGAAGATTGACCTGGGCATCTTCCAGTACAGGTGCAGGCACCAATGCAAGGGTAGGGCAGATCTGCATTTCATTGAGGGGATGAATGGGGTGTTTGAATTACACCCCAACCCAGAAGATCCCAACCACCATGTCCTCAAGATTTCAATGAGGGTGGGTGAGAGTGGTGAGATACAAACATCCCCCCCAGCCTGCCCCCTGCACCCCAAGTGGATCTTTTAGAGAGGGGATGATTATTATTTTTTCTCTTTTTCTTCTCCTCCTGCCCCTCCTCTCCACTCCTCCCCTGCCTGTCATTACATGTTTTTCAGCATTGTATAACCCAAAAAAATATTCTCAAGTTTTTCCGGTAAAAGCTCCTAGGTATCTTGTAGATACTGTTAATTTTATGGTGTTCCTGGTGCCTGAGTGTCCCCCTTAGTCCATTAAATAATGGTGTTAATGGTGTGCATTAATTAATTATTATTTATTATTTACAAGTATAATACTCTACAATACTCGGAGTAGAAAAGACATTGTGCCTATGTCACATGCTGAAATGACCAATATTGCTTACCTCATTTCGGGCCCCGGACCCGGGATCAAATCTAACACAGCCGAGGCCGGAATCCGGATTTCGTAATAGCGGCTTCCGGATTCCGGATTCCGTGTCGGGGAACCCGTATGTTCTCATTTCCAAGATAATCAAGATGACTAGGGCCTTCTACTAACGAGATATTATAGGTGTGTCTGTCCCTGTGAACTTTTACCTCGGTTTACACCATCCAGTTCACACGAGTCACGCATTTGGCATCGAGCCAAGGTGGTGGATACTGAGACTTCACCATTGTTTCTTCACACCACTGATACCATTCTATTTCCCCTTCCTTCTTAATCCCTCACGCCACATCGTACCACCTCATCTCGGTATTCCCTCGCACAGTCCATTCTTTCCAGCTCAATCAATCACCATCATGTAACTTAATGGTCAAGCGCCGCCATCTGCGGAGCGGGGTATCTATCCCCCGCAGTCTTGAAACTATCCAGAATGGTCCTAATCTACATACTGTCAGCCTCGTTCAAATTGAAGTACCAGATCGAAATACATACCTCTTTTAGTTCCGCCTCCGTGAACTTCACGTCGTTACTAGCGATATTCTCCTCTAACCCGGCCAGGCGCGTCGTTCCGGGGATAGCGATAACCCCTTCCCACTGAGCATGTACCCAAGCGATCGCGAGCTGCGAAGCCGTGCATTCTTTCTTCTTCGCAAGGTTGTTGAGCTCGTCCACCAACTACAAGGCATCAGCACACCGCTCTGCCACGCGGGTCAAGAGCCCACCTTGAGGTTCTTGGGAAAGTTCTCCTCCGAAAACCTGCTCCGTCAGCTTCATCCTCCCTTGCACGAAACACCTACCTCGGATGCCCAAGTCTACTATCACCCTCCAAGTCCTTCCTGCTCCTAATGGTCCGCTCAGCAACCCCCTTCCCAACGGCGAATACGCGACCCGAGCAACTCCCAGCTCTTTACACGCATCCAGCAACCCCGAGCGCTCGATCGACGTTTCCCACAAAGAGTACTCGACTTGCACGGCCGCGATGGGCGCGACGGCATACGCGCGTCGGAGCGTCGAAGCCGAACATTCGGAGAGGCCAATGTACCGGATCTTCCCTGCCGACTGGAGCTCCTTCAGCGCTTGGACGGTATCCTCAATAGGGGTGTTCTTGTCCACCCTATGCTGGTAATACAAGTCCACGTACCTCCACGATATCAGCTGGGCCCTGCACGGGTAGGGTGGGGTGACGTACTCAACATCAAGGTTCTTGAGCGTCTTCTCTATCGCGGACTTTACGTACTCGGGGGTGCCGAGAACTTTCCTCTCGCCCGTCTCGTAGTTCCTCCAGTTTCCAAATTTGGAGCCTGTATATTGTTAGGCGGCAGGCCCGGCTTAGAGGAGGGTGGACGAACAGAGGAAAATGTCCTTTCGTGGGATTCCGGAGTGGAAGGCTTTTGAGAGGAGCTGCTCGTTTTCGCCCATAAAGTGGTCGCCATACATATCCGCCTGGGGGTGAGGGCTGAGCAACCCGAAACTTTAGGAAGTACGTCTCAAGAAAGGGGAAGGTGGCACGCAAGAGCAAGAGCGGCGTACGATCACGATGAAGATCCCCGTAAAAAGAGGCAGAGCAAAAACAAGGACGTACCGTATCCCACAGTCGGCAGCCTTTTTCCCAGGCAGCCCTAAGCACCGCCAAGTTGTTCTGCTCATTATGCGCCGTCGCGTAGGAGAAGGACATGCCCATCGTCCCCAGCCCGGGATGGGGACCGAATCGATGCCGATCTTGCGAGTCGGGAGGGACATGGCTACTCCGCAGTTGATGAGATGGAGGAAAGGGATGAAGGTGGCCAACATACATAGCCAGCTCACTCTGACAGACTAGTACTGGCATTCTAGACAATTGGCCTTCATGTGCCGGTCAGGGCTTATCGGGACCTCACCGGCCAGCCGGCAGGTGTCCGCCCCTATGCTGCTTTGTGTTTCGACTTTGGTGTATACATACATGTGACCTTGCTTTTCGGCCGAGTTGACCGATATTGGTGCTATGACATTCAAGTTACGTTCATCAGTACATGGCATCAAAGACGATACTATTAAGGGGTCGTAGAGCGTGAAAGGAGTTGTAGGTCAGATACCGGGCTGTGAGAACTAGAAGTAGAGAAGGAAACATATCTCGCAGGTCAACACTCTGAGATGACAGAAGCGGTTACACCGCGCCCACCTCCGGAACGCCCTGGGCAGGGACGAGTGGGGCATCCTTCTCACCCCGAACGTAGGACCGCCCTACTCCGCCGATGCCCACACCCGTCATCCCGAACCTGCCTAGGTCGACAGCGCGCAACTGGAACATGTGCAGCGCGAGGAAGAATGGCATCGTGAAGAGGTCGAGGATGCCGTAGAAGACCATCTCTCCGTCTGATGTGATCACGTTGCCACCTTCGGACAGGCCCCAGCAGATAGGGTAGATCAGGGCGATGAAGGACAGGTAGGCAACTGGAGAAGCCGTCAATGTTGGCGCCAGCGGGAGGGGAAATAGACGTACCACCACGAGTGTGAATGCTAGCAATATCTGAGCCAACATAGCCGGCGGAGATGCGACCGGGACCAAGGAGGACAGAGACGGTGTAGATCAAGGCGCCGACACCGAACCCGTAGTAGCCCCACTTGTACGTGCTTGGGGTCAGAGCGCCGACGAGCCCGCAGATGACAGTCACGTCGATCATGAACATCGCCCCGAAGATGTCGGAGACCGGAAGCGCAGAAGCCAGCGCGATGGCGAGCACCAGGAGGGGGGCATTGATGAACCACAAAATGTAGCGCACGTACTGTTCTTATCGTTAAGCAATGCTTGAAACGAAATATGCACGCGCTTACCCAGATAGCACGAGTCGCTGGCTCCCCCGCGTAGTTCTGGTGCCTGTCACCGTAGAACTCGGCAATGACGGGGGTAGCACCGAGGTCGGATGCCATAGAGTAGTAGGCAATCGTGCCGACGGAAAGGATAGCGATGGCCAGGATATGGAAGGCGCGGGAGCCACGAGGGCGGGTGAAGGACCACAGGACAAAGAGCAAGTCGAAGAAGAGGAAGGTGGCACAGACGGCCCAGAGCCAGTCAGAGCCGTTCGTCTCGATGTCAATCTGGCTGTTGGACGGGTTGGCGTCCAGGGCGTAGTTTCCTGCGGCCATGGCTGGCTGTGTGTAGGATTGTAGGTATTCCTGGTGGGAGACACGAGAGGCGCAAAGCAGAGGGCTGCGAGCCACGGGCTCACTCAGGGCACGTTTATATGCACGATGAGGCAGGTCAACTCCACGGCGACCCAGAACAGAGTCGTAGTAAATTTGGAACGGCGCGATGTTCTGCACCATACTTCTTTCGCACATCGGCGGAGCTCATGACGTGAAATGATGGGAAATCTCTAACCGAGAGAGACCATATCACGGACCTTGCCCACACAAGGCCCAATCTGCCCAATCCAGCCAAAAGAGGGAGTTGAACCAGAGCAGGCAGGCCAGGACGAGTTTGGCGAGCACAAACTTCGAGAAGACAGCACGGAGTCCCGGCAAGAATGTGGGGAAGGGCAGAAACGAGAAGTCGCCGCGGCTCTCGGGGCGCATGTGGCGTCATCCTTCGAGGTTATTGGCTTGTTCTGCGCTTTCTTCCCGCAGGTTGAGCCATTTAAGGACTTCCATGCTTCGCGAAGCACCAGGATATCTGCGCCAGCACTGCTTTGAGTTTGACATCCGCATGTTGGAACTACCGCAAGTGCACCTTGGAGACCCATCGAAACTTGGCTGTTTGATCACGGCCAAAGTAGGGGTCGGGTGCACTACCGGCGGTTGATTTTACCGAATACGTCTTGGTTGGAGCACGACGAAACTGCGTGCAAAGGTGGTTCACTCGATTAAATGGCCGTTTTCTGAAAGTCACGGCTCCACGTCGGGGGCCATCGGGCAAGAAGGCAAGAAAGATCCTCGGACACCTGCTCTCGAAAAGCGTTGCCTTCGAGGGCTCGTGACAAGCTCAAACGTCGGGAAGATCGCATTTTCGCTTTAGGCTCTTTAAATAACACCCTCTTTGACGTAAGAACGCAGTTGCAAGGCGTCTTCTTGAGATAGGGGTTTCATGCATTGATGACAGTTGACGGGCTTCTGTTCGTTGTCACGCGTCAACAATCCAGACAGAAGGGTCACGAGGGCCTCGACCAGTATGTCAGGAAGTTGCGCTGCAGGTCTTCCTTGCTGGAAAGTTCATTGTTAATCGATTATAGCCTGAATCTGCGGGAAAAACGTGCACGAACTGGGGAATCGCACCGTTCTGGCACGCATGCATCCCAGTTGGTCGGAATTTGCTCTCTAGACGTTCTGGTACGCCACTTTATTTTCCAGATCTGATAGGTGGCATCTCCGAGGACGAGATGGGGAGATGTTCTGGTCGGCCATTCCCGGACAGGTGACCAATCTAGATTCTCTTCATAGATGCACGAAGAGCAGTGAGAGGGAAGAGACGAACCAAATATGATGCGCCTTGTCAGACTTGGAGCTGGGCGCATGTAGTGGGAATAACCTGCCTAAAAAAACAGTGGAAATTCAAGACAAGTGCGAGTGCAAGTCCACTCAACCCCTCCGCCGGGATCTCCGTGCACCGTACAAGGCAGAGCCGGCTGAGCGCCGTGTACTAAAATATCAAAATTCAGCACTTGACCAGAGGGGCAGAGCTTTTAAGTCGTTTGTGGATCGATCGTCCGTGGAAAGCATGCCAGTGGTCTGAAGACCAGCGACCTCCAGTAGGAGTGGTACACTTGGACAAATGAGAGGGCCCGCGGAAAGCACGACCGGATACGCCTTTGGTCCAGAAGCGTGATAACCGCCTTCCTTCGGTTCCCTTAGCAGATGTTAGGATAGAAGAATACAACAAAGGAGGGCTGCTGTCAAACCCTTGAGGCAGCCAGCAGGTCACACACCCCGGCGGGCCGGCTGCCTGGCTTGTGAGAGTCGGCTAATTCTCGAAGGAGGCAAGAGCACCCGAGATCTATGTGAGGGAATTGTGCGGCAAAAGCTGATGGATTGCGGATGAAAGGTGTAGAGAGATGCAAGCAGCAAAGTACAAAATTAGGCAAGATGAAAATAGACCTAAATATCAAACCACTGCACATGGTCAGTACGCGGTCCAGCAGAAAGACGAATAGCTCACATAGTACAGCATTCACACACCCATCGTTCTCCGGGTTGTTCGTCACCTGCGCATACTTGCCCCATACCGCCTTCCCCCCAGTCGTGACGATCCCAAGCTCGGAAACGTTGACCTCTATCACGGTTCCTTTTGTTAGGACACCCAAGCTGGTGTACATGGGGCTCTGTGGGTTCTTCTTCACTCCAATGATGGGAAGTTGGAACGTTGCCTGCAAGTCCGGGTGCGTCACGTTCGCTTTCTTGACTCGCAGCCCCATGGGGCGGATGAATCTCTCGAGCTTGACGGGCTTGCGTGTGAACCCCTCCCCGACAAAAGTAGCTTTCGTGACCATCCGTTTCCAGGCTTTCTTCTTGCCCTTGCCTGTACGCAGGACCTTGAATACTTCCTCTTCGGCAACGCCCCGTACTTTCGGGAGTGGAACAGAGTACTTCGCCGCTTTGTCCTTCCGCCGCTGCTTGACAGCCGTCGAGAGTGCCTTGGCGTTGTTTTCCTGTGCACGATCGAGGAGGTATGTGGGAAGAGCGGTGCCAGACTCCTCGGTAGATGTAGTAGTCTTGGTATTCCGCTCGTCGTGTTGCTTGAGCGTCTTCTTCAGCTGAACCTTCTTGGCATGTTGTATCTGATGATGCAGCTTCGCCTTAAAGCCATGGAGTGTCTGAGTTTTAGCGGAGACACGGTGCACTTCACGAGCAAGCCGCTTTCGCCTGAGCGGGCGGTTAGTGGGATATCAGCTGTGGTGGAAGGAGGACACACTTCTTCTCCTCATAGTCTAACCGCCGACCATGCCGTTTGATGTGCTCTTCGATATACTCGTTCTGGGGCTAAGCAGACATGGGCGTGAGTGTAGTCCAAACACACAAGGAGAAGATGCATACCATGTTTGTCTATCCAAGAGTACGAGGAAGAGAGGTTGGGTGATCGGTGCCGTCCCTAACCAAAAGTTGTCAGTCCCAAATGAACGGAAGCGAAAAGAAGAGTTATCACCAAATTTAGAAGGTGAATTACAAGTTTACCTCCGCTCCCAGGCGCGTCACTGAGCAGTCATTCCACGTTACGGAGACACGACTCTGTCTCACAACGACACTTACCATTGCGCATACAGTACACTCACCTAACACGCTTCATACGCCATACCTCACCCGCATATCTCTCCCTTCTTCACCCTATCTCGCCGACCACATATCTCTCTCCCAAAATATTGTGAGGATGGCCAACATCCTCTTCGACCAACAGAACCCCTACGGTCAACAACAGCCCTACTATCCTTCCTCCTCCTCCGTCCCAAACGCCCCCAACCTCCAGTTTTACTCCTCCGACTCGGCAGGATACAATGCCTATAACCACAGGCCAAGTTTGGAGGGGAATGTTGGCTCTGGTGCAGGGGTGGGTGGGATAGGAGGACAGACGTATGGCAGGATAGAGGGGCCGTGGTGGTATGCTTTCGGTACGGGAGGGCTCGAGGGAGAACCGCCCTTACTCGAGGGTGGGCATATATTCCATGGCCACGAAGTACTTTCAGCTCACTTCGCTAGAAGAACTTGGCATCAACTTCTCCCATATACGGGATAAGTCACTGACTGTGCTTAACCCCCTACAAAGGGTCGATGCGCGCATAATGGATGACGCCGACCTTGCAGGCCCGCTGCTGTTTTGTTTCTGTTTCGCCATGTTTCTCTTAATTGTTTGCGTCTTCCATGTTATTAAGTCTCGTCAGGAATCGGCTGACTTACTCATTCTTCCAGAGCGGTAAACCACAATTCGGTTATATTTACGGTGTCGCCCTCCTTGGATCGACCAGCATGTACGCCCTCCTCAACCTCATGAGCGAAACGGGCATCGATGCGTACCGCACGGCTTCTGTGCTGGGGTACTGTCTGCTACCGATGGTGGCGATGGGGGCACTCAGCGTGGGGGTCAAACTAGAGTGCGTCCCATTTCTACCCACAATCTAGCGTTCTCTTCTTTCTCTTCTTTCCGCCACTCTCGCCTTGTGTCCTCTGCCATCAGTTCTGTGCTGACGATCTCCCAGCGGGATGATAGGCTACATTCTCTCCCTCCTCTCCGTCGCCTGGTGCACACATTCCGCATCCGCAATTTTCTGCGCAGTGCTGACGATGCATGACCAACGATTCCTCGTCGCCTATCCCGTAGCGCTGCTCTATGGTTGTTTTGGCCTGTTGACAGTGTTTAATGTTGGGGGAGTGACGAAGAGCTAGCTGGTGGAGGAAAGAGGACGGAGCGGCAACTGATCGGACGGACGATGGTCCCCTGTATGCCATCCCCCAAAGTACAGGTGTCTGTCAGATTTGACGGTCTAATGGAATGCATCCTACCATATAAGGATATGCTGCCTTAATTTGGAATCGGATCCCTCTGACCGGTCATGATAAGACGATTGCACCCATAATTAATACAGACGTTGCGGCGCGATGCCTTCGGCAGTTACTTTGCATGTACTCTTCTCGCCGAGTCCCACATGTCCTTGATATGTGATCATTGTTGCATTCGGCACAATCAGGTGTACAAGTACTGAATATTCCGTGAACCTAGACTGCTTTCCATTTCTCAGCGGCGTCGGCGTGTGTGTAATGAAACTTGACCCTACACCGGGTCATTTTATAATAAATATGGACGGTGTGATTGGTTGCTGGTATGTAGCAAGTCCTGCCCGCTTGCCATACTGCCTTCCAGCTCGCACTCAGACTCCATCATCTTGGTCACTATCCCATCATGTCAACTGAAGACTGGGGCCTGTTCAATAATCGAGTCGTGACTGAAGCTCAAGCGACGTGTTGCAAGATCGGCCTGGAACCTCGACCTGAAGACCGCTTCGGGTGGGACAGATGGAACATGGCTCAAGTGCATACCTGGTAAGTAAACAACCCTCTCTTGCCGTTCATGTACTAACGCCTGGCAAAGTTTGCTGAACCGACTCGAGGCGACATACAAGAACGCGACACATATAGCACCGAACGACCTGCGTAACTACTGGCTGGTTGCGTATGATGATATCCAATTCGTCAACGAGCACCACCTCCACGAAGAGGAGTGCTATTTTCCTCATCTTCCAGGAGAATTGATGGAGTCGAACCATAACCAGCACATGGTGTGTGTATATGCGTCAACCGCGTTCTGTTGCTAACTCTAGATCAGGAGTTCAAGGATCTCTTGGGAGAGACGCTCTCTTACCTGGAGAGTGTCGATCCATCGAAGCCAGATGCAGAGCCATTCTCTGCTACCAAGTTTCGGGCCTCGATGGATCGCTGGCTACTCGTCGCCTCGCAGCACATGGCGGATGAGCTCAACACGCTCGAGGCCGACAACCTGAAGAAGGCGGGCGTGACGCTTGACCAGCTAAAGGCTGCAATCAACGCTGTCAACAAGCACAGGGAGGAAACAGAGGTTGTAAAATACAGCTTGCCCGCCATAATATACGCCAATCCACCAGGCAGCAAGTTCCCGAGTGAGGCCCCCTGGTTTGTGGGGGCCGTTTTGGCACCCTTATTTGCATATGGAGCGGGGCGGGGGAGGATGAAGTATTATTGGAATGCGAGGCGATGGGAGACAACACCTCCCAACCCACCATCTTGATCAAATACAGGGTCTGACACCTTACTCACCTCATGATATGATCATTTGTCAGTAGTTCTGGACTAGTAGACAGTTATTCGTGTGCATCCGAATGTCATCACATGTCCCAGCGCATAGCACAGAAAAGAAGTCATAGCGTCTCATAGGATTAACCCTAGACTTTACATAGTTTTGCGGTGCAATGCAAGCCCTCGAGCTAAACCGAAGGCGAAATGAGAACGTGTGCTCCAACGACACGCCTCATGTGCGCTCATCCAACGCCTCACCAGTTTGCTCCCTGCTGGTCGTACGTCGCCGGTTCTGCCGCCCAGTCAGTAGCGGCCTGACCAGGCTCCGCAGACCAGTCGAGCCCCGGCTCCTGTGCGATACCAGCTGCAAGAGCGGGGTTTATCCCACCTGCGGCGGCAGCACCCTGCACATCCCAGTCGGCGAGTCCTTGTGGAACAGCCTCCTCCCCAGCAGCAGCGGCAGCCAATGCATTTGCTTTGGCAGCAGCCTCGTCCGCCTGCTGCTTCTCAACCTCCTCGGGATCGCGATAGAAGAACATGTCGACCATGACGTCCCAGCCGTCCGTGGTACGCGGTACCGTGCCACGGAGACGGAGGACCTCACGGCAAAGCATCCACCAAAGGAGACCGACAGCGTGACGAGATTTGTTGTTGGTAGGGATGGCAACGTCGACGAACTTGAGCGGTGCATCGGTGTCGCAGAAGGCAATGACTGGGATGTTGACATACGAGGCCTCGCGGATGGCCTGGTGATCCGTCCGAGGGTCGGTAACGATGATGATGCGGGGTTCCTTGAACGAACGGGTGATGTAGTTGGTAAAGTTTCCGGGAGTGAAGCGGCCGGCGATCGCCTGCGCGCCGGTACTGGCAGCGAACTTCAACACTGCGCGCTGCCCGTACGGCCGGGAGGAGATCACGCAAATATCATTCGGGTTCTCAATCGTAGCGAGCACACGAGCCGCAAGGACGAGCTTCTCCCATGTCTTTCCAATGTTGATGATGTGGACACCTAGACACTGTTTAGCCTTCCAATGGCTTGCCAATGTATGATGCGGTACGCACCATCCACACGCCTCTTCCACACATATGACTCCATTTGTTTGTCGCAGTTCTTGGCACCGATATGCACCGCCGCGGCAAGCATCATCTGGATATCCTCATCGGTTGCGCTGAGCACAGAGGGTAATTTTGACATTTTGGTCTACAGAGTAACAATCAGCAATGGAGTTCCTTCTAACGGTCGTAATGCATGGGTTGGATGGAGTGCATCCTTGATCCACTCTCGACATCCACCGAACCCACGGTCCTGGCCGCTAGCCAGACACACCCGAGCATCTCTCCGAACGTTTCGCTCTCTGTCGACGTCGAAATGAAGGAAGTCTACTGACCGGAAGATGGTGTTGAGGACGGCTCGCAAGTCAATGAGGACCGCCTGGAATGTTTATCACCAGTTGTAGTAGAAATTCAACTGAGCGTCAATGTCAAGTATGAATCATATTAATGGATTTCGCGTCAAGTGTCCAAGGGTCCTTGCATGGAGTAATTTCCTCCGATAGCACTTTTTCGGAGGCAGAGTCCCTAGAATGGACTGCCGGGCCCTATTTCCTCAAATCGGCCATGTGCCTGCCCTAAGCAACACCCTACAGTCCAATTAAGAAAAGTGGTGGTAAGAGATCAACCCGTGTGCGAGGGTCCGGTCTGTCATTTCGTTCTAGTTAACACTACCGGAACTTTTCACGGCGTTTTTCTTTTCATACAGTATGCCTTATGTGCCGCTTCTCATATGGGAAATGACCTCGATGATACTGTAAACCCGCCGCCGCAAAAACATTACATTGGCCGTCGCACTGTAAAGCGGAAAGAATAGTATATATAATAGCCATGCATATAGCTACAGTATATAGAGAAAAGTAATATAAATGAGTTATAAAAGAAAAACACCTTGAAAAGTTCCGGTAGTGTTAACTAGAACGAAATGACAGACCGGACCCTCGCACACGGGTTGATCTCTTACCACCACCTTTCTTAATTGGACTGTAAGGTGTTGCTTAGGGCAGGCACATGGCCGATTTGAGGAAATAGGGCCGGCAGTCCATTCTAGGGACTCTGCCTCCGAAAAAGTGCTATCGGAGGAAATTACTCTCCTTGCATGTTCCAGCATCGCCACACGGAAGTAGGGAAGTCGCGATAAGCGGAAGTATTCGCTGTGAGCGTGACCACTATTTTGGGTAAGAGCAACGTCGCTTTCTTCACACCTCAAAGCCTTCCTTCAAGAGCATAACAGCTTCCATTGCGCTTCCCCACGAGCTCTGATACCCTTGCCCGCCATGACTGCAGCGTCCTTTTAGCTCGCGTCGTTCTATGTGGTTGTGAAATACTGACGCACCCATAATTGTACACGATCGGCACCTGTTTCCCCTTACAATTCGGCACCTCGACCGTATCCTTCTCCAATCTCAACCCTCCCTTCCTCCCTGGCCTCAGCCCACAGCCCGCCTCGATGATAAGCGGCCTGATGTCCTCCACCGTGGGCGTGCGGCCTGACCCACGCACCTCAGCAGGTGCCAGTTCAGGAACGAGCTTGATAGCGCCTTCCAGGATCATCTCATGTATGTCCTCTTTCGGCTTCGGATACCAGTCGTCATGGAACCAAGTTCCGCCGAGAATTACCTATGGAAGAACTTAAATGACACGACAATCAATAGTGATACCTCTCAGACTCACATCGCCAGATGGCCGAGGAATAACATAGGTAGAGATGCCTGGCTGCGCCTTGCCACCCATGCACTGCTTAATCCATGGCGCGCGGATCAAAATTGTCTGCCCACGGATGGGGAATACGTTCTCGTCCTCCACGCCGCCCAAGGTCCGGGCGCCGATGCCTGCGCAAACGGCGAGCGCGTCGGGCTTCTCGCAGAAAGCGCCCTCTAGCACCTGGTTGATGTGCTGCACCTGGGCACGGACAGCGCGACCACCCCTGACTAGGACTTGTGAATACAGCCAGGGTAGATAGCGCCAGACATCGAACGTCACAGACATAAAGTACGTGCCGGAAGTAGCGCCGACGCGTAGCTCTTCGGAATAGAGTTTGCGGTACTGCAACACATCCTTGAATAAGCAACACATATGCGGCGACCAATAACCGGGCATACCTCAGGCATAGTATCGGCCAGAGGATCGGGCTTCGTCACTGGATCGTGGTAGTAATGGATGATCGGAGTGCGCATAAACAGATGCTCTGTCGGACTCCCTGGCTCTGACATCTTCCACACCACGTCAAACGTATCCATGTCGAGCTCTGTGTCGCTCATCAGCATTTAGATCACACGGCTTTGGATGCAATTCAAACACACTGAACTGCCTCTTATCATCCCCTGCCATACTGGAGTGATTCGCGCCCGCAAAGTTGCTCGTGTAGCGTATGTCCCGGGCGTCCCCAGGAAACAGCTGCGCTATCACCACCACATTGTATCCCGCCTCGAGGATCTTGAGAGCAGTAGTGAGACCGACCACGCCTTTCGTACGCAACAAATGTTAGAATCTAACAAATCGCGTGGGCTCGGGACTTACCTGCTCCGAGGACAGCAACAGTGAACATCCTGAGCGTTTTCTCCAAGTGACCAGCAAATGACTATCGCAGCCCTAGAGATCTATTATCGCTTTTCCGCTGTATTCCGACATATTGTCCCAGTAAGCGCGTGGTCCTGTCGTTTGTCAGATAAGAGAGGGTCCAACACCGGTCGGTATCGGCACGCGACTTACACTTTCGATATCGAAAACCGTTCTCAATGCTTCCAACTCTCCACCATTGCCACGGTATTATGAATTGGAGATGGGTACATGATTGCTCTTATCTTGTCCCTCTCACACTGATATGCCGTGATCCTCCTCCCTCTTAACGTCGAGAGTATCCTCCCTGTGAAGTCGTTGTTTGTTAGTGATGTTAGGAGACGAAGGCCATGTGGGACGGCAGGGTGATTCCTCAGGAGTTCCTAGTGTCTGCCTCACGGCCGGCTTGGGCTTGAATTTGGCGAAAAGGGAACCCACGGGCCAATATATGCGGAATAGATGAGCTTTCCGTGGGGAGACGGGGCGGTGGACACTCATCACTTACCTATCGTGCAAAGACGGAAGGGAGGAAGGGTACAAAGGCACCGCCGCGGCGGAGAGGCGAGGGTGGAGCGAGAGGATCGAGACGTTTTAGATGAATAAATCGATGTCTGTGTCTGGTAGCAGGAGGTAGAGATGTCCTCATATTATGCTGTCGGCTGCCACTACTCAACTCTATTCTCCATCATTGAAGAGGGAGGAAGAACAGACGAGGTTGGCTGTGGTTGACCTTGTACGGTAATGATTCTTGTGTTGGCAAGATCAATTTATTGCAAATGTCGTTTGCAAATTAGGCGCCAAATATTCTATGATAATAAGTTAGTCTGGATAAATAGGTATAATCGCGCTGGGACATTGGTCCGCATGAAATATGCTGACCTAGACTCACGCAAGTGAAAAGGGCTACATGTCATGCCACCTCAGTGCTTTACTGTGACATCGGGTAGCCTTCAATTTCCTCTTTTCGCTCTGCACTTACCACCTCCCTTGGATTCGACGGCCGTATTCGGCTCGAGTTTCGGTTTGAATTGGGCTCGGATGGTGTAGGCACGCAGGGCAAGGGAAGGAAGGCTAAGGGGAGAGAAGGGGAAGTGAGGGGAGAGCCAGGGAGGGGACGAGGAGCGAGAAGGAGAAGGAGGGCGAGGGGCATACGAGGGAATTGCACGCAGCTTTACACACTTGCCAGTGTGATCTCCCAACGAAAGATATTTCTCTCACACCTACCAAACACATCGCTCGATCACCAAACACATCGCTGAATCCTCACGTGCATGTATAAAGGCGATGTATATCATGTTCGAGTTGCTGAGACTGCTTCGAATCAACCTTGGCAGCTCTTTGGCATTCACGAACAGACCGCGATCGTGTTTGGCGAGGGGGACGCTGTCCCGCAGCAACTTTACGAAAGACCGCGATGTCTAGTTCGGGTCGTGCGCCGGGATGTGGTAAACGTTGTTCGGACAGTATCCTCTGCGAGAACGGCGGCTTGATGTGCCTGCGCGAACACCGCGTCTAGTCGTCGGCCTTCTGTATTGCACCATCGGCTCTCTTGAACAACTTCACAGCCTCCATGGCTTCTGCGTGTGGAATATTAATGTAGAGGCAGATACTGTAGTCTCGAGTGCCGATGCTTATTCGATCCCGTTACCGGATCGAGGGCGTCGTCTTGATGAAAATTAAGAAAGGATGACATTCTCGCAGGTCTTCGTCAGAGATAATTCTATACAAAAGTGGAAGCCGCACTTTCCTGTAGTTGTGTGCATGGTGAATGGTAGTAGTGGCGTGGTCGTTCACATGTCGGTGATAAGGATTCGGCTCTGTGCCCCTTGATCCAATACGTCAACCAAAAGAATGAGCGCAACCTCAAACTATGCTGATCGCAACCTGATTGCCGTGATTGGGGACGAAGTATGTTCTGATGAGAATCCTGCAATGTTTTGTCTGACAGTTGCTTTCCGAAGGATTCCATCACGGGCTTGCTATTGGCTGGAATTGGACACGTAAACTCGAATCAAAAGAAGAATTTCCTGGTCGTTGATAACAGTGCGCCAGTATATTTTCTCACCCATTATTACACCTCTGATTAAATAGCAGAGACTCAAACATTTGCGATTGAAGCTGCCTTCAACGAATTCACAGAGCGGAAAGATATCGCTATCCTTCTGATCAATCAACATGTGCGTTTATCGAACTATCTGGCCCTTACTTTTCAATCCAACTGTACATGGTAGATTGCTGAGCGAATACGGCCAACCGTAGAGAAATACCAGAATGCGTTTCCAACTGTGCTCGAGATACCGTCGAAGGATCATCCATACGGTGCGTGAACTGCCTTCCCTGAACGAGAATACCCCTCAACACTCTTCAGACCCATCAAAGGATTCAATACTGAAGCGCGTGCAGAAGATGTATGGAGACTAGAAGTTGTATGACTGGCGCTCAGGTAAACAATTCGCCTGCCTAGCACACGAGATCCGAGCTCCACAGAATGGTACTCGGGCGGCCGGTATCATAGGGATAGGCGACACAATGTATCAATATTCCGCGAGATGGATTTGGAAGGGTTGGAGTTGAATATCTGGGCCAAAACCCCGAGTCCTCTGCAGGCCAGTGCAATTCTATAAATACAACAAGTCTAGTCATCGTGCTACTGCACTCCACCACTGTTTTTGGTTGATTGAAAAGAGGGCGTGCGAGACAGGGCTGGACCCGAGTTGGGCGGCTTCTTCCCTATCAGGGGAGGAGGTCGGCTTACCCCAGTGCTCATGCCTTTGGGGGATGAGCCGTTCAACGCCGGCGTTGGCGGATTCGGGTGCGATGCATTCTTCAGCGGGGAAGGAGCAAAAGGCTTGTTGCCCATTGCTGACGAGGGGCGCGGGAGACCGACCGAAGCAGGCGGTGGAGTGAGAGAGGCGGCGACTTTTCCCACTGTAGACACCGGCTTTGAAGGAGACTTTGTGGCGCTTTTGACTGGCCCCGTTGCCGATGACGAGGGTGGTGGTGCTTCCTCATGGGACAGATGGAGCAGCCCACAATCTTTGAGGAAGTCCCATATTCTTCCAACTTTGTTCACATCGATCTTCAGCACCTCTCGTGCCTCGCGCCGTGTCATTCTACCGTTTCGGCGGGCAAATTCACGCACGAGAGCTTCTTTCATGCCCAGGAACGGCTTAGGAAGAATGCGCATCGTGCTGCAGAAAACCTGCTCAGCAGGCGTGAGGAGATGAATAGAGTGTGCGTTGGCAAGATTGAGGGGAGGGGCTGAAAGAAGATCAAGTTCCTCAAAGGGCATGAAGATAAAGACTGATGCTTACGGGGTTTGCGCACACGGGCGCCAGGAATCACAGATAACGTGGTTGGAGAGCCGCGCCCAAAGGGCGGCACGCTGTCGCGTTCTCCCGGCGCGACTGAGCCACGTACAGATTTTGACTGTGGGTACGCTCGATCTACATATGCACGGTGGTTGGCGTGCTGTGCTTTGTCCTTCTCGTAACGCTCGACCTCGGCCGTGCTTAAGACTCCGTCCCGGCGCATCTGCTGTAGTTCCGTTATTCGTTTCTTGAGTGCTGTCTCGTCTGTAGGATATTTCAGTTACAGGACGATGCATATGAAACTCTGACTCACACATCAAACCATCCACAAACACTTCGAAGTCTTCCGCCGTTTGGACGCGCGCGAATGGCTTTTGCCGCTGAAACATCTCTCTTTCCTCTTTGGGTCGTTTCCTCTCCGCCATTTGGAGCTGTGAATCAACATCAGCCTCTATGCTAAATCCAACACACGCAATTCCTCATACCTTCTTATATTCTAGCAACCCACGCTGGAAGACAACCTGCTTTGCCCTGATCCTCTTATCCAGTTTATCATAGTATCCCTTAATCAGACTGAGCTTGACTTCCAGCTCCTCTGGTTCCTCTATGCCAATGGGCGGCTCCGGCGGCTCAGTTTCTTCACCTGGCCCGTCTTCGTCCTCCCCATCCCCATCTCCGTCCGTCTCTGGTTCGGGCTCGGGCTCGGGCTCGGGCTCTGGTTCTGGTTCGGGCTCGGGCTGCTCGTCACCGCCGTGTTGCAAGACGACTCCAAAGTGCATGTCGGCAATGGCCTCCTCGGCCTCGTGTACCAGCTCGTGCTCGAACTCAAGCCTCCCAGGCATGTAGCCCGTGATTTCGTGATTTGCTGGGCCTGAGGTAGGTGCCTTTGGCGGCGGTGGCGGGGGAAGAGCATCTGACATCTGTTTTATGCGTCTCCGCTTGCAAGCAAGAAACTCTTCTCGGTCATAGTCCGGGAAAGGGCGCTTTTCGACACGTGGCCAAGTGGGGGAGGAAAGGTAGACGGAGCGGTAGTGATATTCGATATCAGCTTTGGAACGGAGGCCGAAGAGCTTATCTGAGACCCCCTGCCAGTCTCCCAGACCAGAAGAGAGGATGCCATCGAGGAGCATAAGTTCCCTGAGGACATTTCAGTCATACACATAAGAGGGAAAAGGTCATAATATGCACTCATCAGCGCCCCAAGCCTCATCATATATTGGATACGTTGGCTGATCCTGTGTCTTCCGTCAGCATTCTTCCGCCACCTTCCCTATATCACTCACAATGACCATATAATCGTGCCACGCTTTGTGTGACCCCACCTCCCTTCCCTCGCAGAAGCACTTTGGGCAAAGATCTATCTCCTTGCAAACAGGGGTCGCACACTTGATGCGAATAAAGTTGGTGATGTCGGCGTCGCATGCATCGCAGGAGTAGCGATCTCGCCCTTCTTTCGAGCTTTGTTGGGACTTTCGCGATTGAGAGACGGTCATCGCTGCGAGAAAGAGCCTAAAGAAGAGAAAGGTGCGTGAAGATTTTGATGTAGACAAGAAGGCAGGCCAGAGCCGCGTAGTAATCTAGATTCAGACCAGGTATGTTCTGAAGTAATCAGGAAACAGTGTGTTGTAACGATGCAGAATATTGCTGTATGGTGGTCATCAATACAGGCATGGTCGGCGCCTGTTACTGAGCAGTACCCTTCGGAAGTAAAGGGCCCTATTATTCCCAAATACAGCAATTTCTTATAACGACGAGAAATATGATATTCTCATTATAGCAACCAAGCAAACCTGCTAGATGGCCTACAACATCTTATAGGCATAGCGAACTTTTCTTTGATAGGTAATTTGGAACCCCAATTACCTCCGATGCCCGCGTGTACTGGGGGCTGCTAGAACTTCGGGAGTTGCTGACTAAGCCGCCTCGCACAGCCAACAAGGATTATATAGGCGCTTCCCAACGCTCGTGCTACAGTTGTACTTCGGCGCTCACTACACGGTCCTTCAACTCTTTCCAAAAGTTGCTATACTCGGCATAAAATGGCTTCACATTTGGCCAACATTTTCGGCACAGAACAGGATCGTGTCAACTGCTCCTTCTACTACAAAGTGTGTATCTCTTCTTTTGCTCGTTTGATAACTCTATGCTGACCCGTTTATCCGAGATCGGTGCTTGCAGACACGGCGATCGGTGTTCGCGCAAGCACATCAAGCCGCCGTTCTCTCAGACGATACTGCTGAACAATGTTTACCACAACCCGGCGCACGACCCGAACTGCAAGCTCTCGAGCCAGGAGCTGCAGGACAACTTCGACCAGCTGTACGAGGACCTATACATTGAGCTGTCCAAGTTCGGCCATCTTCTCGAGCTTCACGTGTGCGACAACATCGGCGACCACCTTATCGGCAACGTGTACGCACGGTACGAGTGGGAGGCTGAGGCACAGGCTGCCGTCGACGCGCTCAACGACCGATGGTATGCCGGCCGGCCGTTGTACGCCGAGCTGTCTCCCGTCACGGACTTTCGTGAGGCTTGCTGCCGGCAAAACGAGAACGGCGAATGCAACCGCGGGGGGTACTGCAACTTTATGCACCTGAGGATTGCGAGCAAGGACCTTGTGAAGAGCCTCGAGGTTAGCCAGCGGTTAGAGAGGCGGATGCAGGGGAAGGAGAACTCGAATGCGGGAGCCGGAGCTGGGTGGCAGCCACCGAGCGCAAGCAAGAGGGCGAGGAGCCGGAGTCCCGCGAGAGGTGGTGAGGGGGAGGACAGATACAGGCCGGCGCCGGCGTCGTCTGGTACTGGAGAGGACAGGTGGCGTCCTGGTGGTGGTGCCCCGCCGACGAGCGAGGACCGCTGGAGACCTGGCGGAGGCACTGGGACGACGGGAGAAGATCGTTGGAGGCCCGGCCGCTAGGCATGTCATGTATGCAGTTGCCATGTTTTACACCTTGATCTGGTTACCTACCCTAGCCACGTTGCGCTGAGAGCTTGTAAGTAGCGCGCGTTGATCGAAAACATTGCGTTCCTTGAAGTTGTCCCGGGCCATCGTCCCGGTCACCGAACACGATCGCTGTTTGTGAATGCGAAAAGAGTTGCCAAGGCTGATTAGCAACTCGAACATGATATACATCGCCTGTACACATGCACGTGAGGATTCATCGATTTGTTTGGTAGGTGTGAGAGGAATATCTTTCGTTGGGAGATCACACTTGCAAGTGCATAAAGCTGCGTGCAATTCCCTCGTATCCCCCTCACACTCCTTCGTCCCCTTCTCCCTCCTCGTTCTCTTTCTCCTCCTAATCCGTCCTTCCTATCAATCGACCATCAAGCCTGAGCCTGACAAGAAGCGACGGAGGTCCCGGGGTGGGGACGCCCCCCTCTGACTGTCGTCCCCCGGTGAGCGCTTCAAATGGACAACAGTGTGGAGAGGGGACGCCCTCCTCACGCGCGTTGTCTGCGCCGAAGATCAAGTGGCAAGAGCAAGAGGAATATAGCACAGAGGAGTATCCTAATACGCAGAGAACGAGCGCTGACCATCTTTTTGTAAGAGGAGACTCCCCGCCTCGCATTCCCTCTCTCCCGCCCTCCCCGCCCTCGCCGTCCGCTCTCGCACTCGCTAACCCCTCCCTCGCACTCGCCCTCACCGTCGCCATCCCCGTCGCCATCCCCATCGCCATCCCCGTCGCCCCGTCTTCTGTTGGCGCCCTCGTGGCCGACTTCTCCCCTTCCCCTCCCCCCTCCCCTCGCTGACCCCACACCCCTGCCGCGTGCCGCCCTCCCTCCTGTCGCTGCCTTTCCTCCCCCTGGCTCTCGCCCTACCTCGTGCTGCCTCGTGCTGCCTCTCCGCTCCTGCCCTCTCCACCCCTTCCGGCTCCCCCTTGCCTTCCCTGCTCTCCCTTCTCTCTGTTTCTTACTCTCGTCTTCCCTCACTCGCGTCCCTGCCCTCGCGTCCCCGTCCCCACCCTCTTCATCTCGTTTCTGATTGCTCCCCCTACCCATCCTTTCTTTCCGCCCTAATGTCCCTCGGGTAAGTGTCCCCCTTTTCATCCTCTCACTCCTACCGCAGAGATGCACCAATAACAACGGACCGACAACGTCAGACGACGACGCCAACCCCGAGCCCAGCAATGAAGCGACGAAGGCAAGGTGGTGGGGACGCCCCCTCCTTGCTGACGTCCCCGATGGTGCTGAAGAAGGGGATTTGTACGGAGGGGGACGCCCCACCATGCATATCGCTCGCACCGAAGCACCGACCAACTAGTCCTCACCGTCCTCGCCTTCCTCGCTGCCTTCCTCGCTCGCCCGCACTCAGTCCCCGACCGGCCCTGCCGCTCCCTCCCCTCAACCCCCCCTTTCCCCTATCCTTCCTATCCTAATACGCAGAGAACGAGCGCTGACTACATTTTTGTGACAGGAGACTCCCCGCCTCGCGTTCCCTTCCCTCTCTCGCGCCGACCCCTTTCCCCGACTGCCTTGTCCTTCCCGCCCTCCCCGCGCCCGCCCGCTCTCGCCCTCGTTAACCCCCATCCCCGGCTTTCTCTCCCGACCTGGCGCGCAAGAACGATCGCACTATGCTGGTGGGGACGCCCCCTGTATTGGTGTCGTCGGCGTCGAAGATCAAATCCGAGCTGCGAGGTCTCATTGGAGTGGTTTGGCAGGTGATCAGCAACAACGGGTCCATCCCGGCGAGTTGTTGATGATGTGTGAGGGAAGTTGTATCATGTTATCCATTTGTGTACATGTCATTCCTTTGTACAATACCACGTTCCCTTCCCAAAAGAAAAGAAAAGTCATCCAATATTCAAACCGTCTATTTGTACCTCTATTATTATTATTATTATTATTATTATTATTATTATTATTATTATTATTATTATTATTATTATTATTATTATTATTATTATTATTATTATTATTATTATTATTATTATTATTATTATTATTATTATTATTATTATTATTATTATTATTATTATTATTATTATTATTATTTATTTATTT